GCCGCGAGGAGCTGGACAAATTTAAGGATAAGTTCCGCAGGTGTGGGAATGAGGGGATACACACACACACACACACACACACACACACACACACACACACTCTCTCTCTCTCTCTCTCTCTCTCTCTCTCTCTCTCTCTCTCTCTCTCTCTCTCTCTCCCCCCCCCCCTTTTTCGGAGGTTAGCTGGAAGATGCCTCAGAGATCATCTGATTCCGATTAGAAAACTGAAGTTGTTGAGGGCGAATGACATGTTTAAGATCCCGGGAGGCTGAACAGGGCCTGAAGAATGGGATCTTGACCCAGGGATGTGCCTTGTGTTATCCCTTTTCAGGCTGCAGAACAGCTACACAGCTTCCCAGCGGACCAACCAGGAGTTGGAGGACAAGCTGCACACACTGGTAAACGGCAACTTGGCGGGCACTGTGCTCACAGCATAGCAGGGGGCCAGGATTTGCCAGGGGAATGCCACTCGGGCTTGGGGGAGATGGTGGGATGGGGCAGTGGTGGGGGTACCGCAGTGTGCTCTGCAAGTCAGGACTGTCTTAATGCTCACACTGTTTCTCTTCTTTCCTCGTCTCCCCCTCATGCTGCCACCGTCGCTGCTGCACTCTCCTCTCAGGCCTCTCTTAGCCACAGCTGGATTTTTGCAGTTGCGTCTGAGTTTGTGTGTCTTCTCCCTTGCCCTGGCCTTCTCAGCTGAGATCTGGAATTGCGGGCCCTGGCTATTACCCTGTACCCCTTGAGTATACCCGCTCCTTTCTCTTCCCTGTGTGAGGCCCATTTAACAGTCAATGCCTCCCTCCCAGGAGAGAGCTGGGGAGCCTAGCCTGCTCTGCCCTTGGCTCTGGTAGAGGTACTGATTGATGTCTCCACTGAACACCCAAAGCTTCTTGGCTGCAGTGGCAGCAAGCCCAGGCTGTGGGCGGGGAGGGGAGGCTGCAGATCCAGTCCCTGAACTGAAGATCAGAAGGCTACTTTTGAGCCTGCAGCTTGCTCCCTGCTCAGCGAGGCACCCTGGCTGCCACCAAGCCCTGCTTCCTCTTCCCTCTCCTAGCCTGATGCTGGAAACAGCTGCACACATAGGAGGCTTCAGCCTCCTGGTTTGCAGTTTCTGCCTTTGAGGTACCAGCTGCCTTGCCTGGTGCCCAGAGCCCCTGGAATCTCAGGGGATGGACAGCTCTTATACTGTCTGTGTTCTGGGCCCAGGTGGCAGGAGGTCATGCTAAGAAAGCCCCCACCCCACAGCCAGTCCAGGGAGTGGGAGAGATGCCCAGTCTCCTTCTGTCTGTCCGTCGTTTGTCTCTGCTTTGTCCGCCTTGGCTGCCCTAGCACCTGTGGCCTCTTGTGTCTCCAGGATGGGAGGAGGTGGACGGAGAGGAAGGGCTGGCTAGGGTGTGGGCTGGGTTAACCTCAAGTCTGTGCCTCAGATCAAGAAGGCTGAGATGGATAGGAAGACGCTGGACTGGGAGATTGTGGAGCTGACCAACAAGCTGCTGGATGCCAAGAACACCATTAACAAGCTGGAAGAGCTCAACGTATGTGCATTTCACTGCTCGGGCCTTCCTCACCTGGGGCTAGCTTTGTTCTGGCCTGGCCCTGCTCCCTTGGAGAGGGCTGGGCTGGGCTCTGAACCAGGTCTGTGTCTGTAGGAGCGGTACCGACTGGACTGCAACCTGGCTGTGCAGCTCCTCAAGTGTAACAAGTCCCACTTCCGAAACCACAAGTTTGCTGATGTGAGTAGAACTCACCCCCTCCCCGCCCACATAGACCATTCTGGCCACTGTAGGACTCTTAACTCCAGTTTCTACACCTCTCTCTGTCTTCCTGTTTTTAAGTCCCCTTTCCATTTTGCCCTCCTGCCTCCATGTCACCTATCAAGCCAGTCAACTCTGCCACTGGTTGGTGTCCCATGTCCTGTCTAGGGCCCATCACTAGTTTTGGGGGGGCAGCCCTGTTGGTTTCTATAACAGAGACAGAGAGAGAGGATCCCAGGCAGGAAGGAGAGGGTAGTCAGAGCTATCTGCCCAAAGAGTACTGAGAGAGGATTAGGCCCATCTGATCATGTTACCCCAACGGGTAAACTCTAGACCCCAGAGCTTCAGGCCCAAGGTTGATGTGGCCTGCAGAAGTAGAGATATTTCTTCTTTTTTCTTTTTTTTCTTTGTTTGAGACGAAGTCTTGCTCTGTTGCCCAGGCTGGAGTGCAGTGGCGTGATCTCGGCTCACTGCAAGCTCCGCCTCCCGGCTTCAAGCAATTCTCCTGCTTCAGCCTCCCAAGTAGCTGGAATTACAGGCGCCCACCGCCACAGCCGGTTAATTTTTTTTGTATTTTTAGTAGAGACGGGGTTTCACTGTGTTAGCCAGGATGGTCTCCATCTCCTTCCTGACCTCATGATCCACCTGCCTTGGCCTCCCAAAGTGCTGGGATTACAGGTGTGAGCCACCGCGCCCGGCCCAGAAGAGGTATTTCTAAGGCCACTGGTCTATACAGATTCTCCAAACTTAAGTGTGGTTTGGGCAGAAGCTGGGAGATAGAAGTTTGAGAACATGCCGGCCTCAGCAGCAGATCTGGGTTTAAATCCTGGCCAAGTTAATCAAAAGCTTCGAGTTGTCTTCCCCTCTCCGGGCCTGTGTGTCTGTGAAGTGAGGGTATACACACTGGCATGCTCTAAGAACAGGAGGTAGTGGAGTGCTGAGCACACAGAGGTACTTAAATGTGGGAGCCATTACTTTCGCCGTGAGTCAAGTTATCTTTAGCTGCGATCATTAATGTCTCTCTTTCCTGCTCTTTTACCTCAGCTGCCCTGTGAGCTACAGGACATGGTTCGGAAACATCTGCACAGTGGTCAAGAGGCTGCCAGCCCAGGTCCTGCTCCCAGCCTAGCCCCAGGGGCTGTGGTGCCTACCTCGGTCATTGCCCGAGTGTTAGAGAAGCCGGAGTCTCTACTGCTCAATTCAGCCCAGTCAGGCAGCGCCGGGCGCCCCTTGGCTGAGGATGTTTTTGTGCATGTGGACATGAGCGAGGGTGTCCCAGGTAATCCAGCCAGTCCCCCGGCCCCTGGCAGCCCCACCCCGCAACCCAATGGGGAGTGCCACTCTCTGGATACTGCCAGGGGCTCCCCGGAGGAAGAGCTGCCCCTGCCAGCCTTTGAGAAGCTGAGCCCCTACCCAACCCCATCTCCACCACACCCACTGTATCCTGGCCGCAGGGTAATAGAGTTCTCTGAGGATAAGGTTCGGATCCCCCGCAACAGCCCCCTGCCCAACTGCACTTACGCTACCCGCCAGGCCATTTCACTGAGCCTGGTGGAGGAGGGGAGTGAGCGGGCCCGCCCTAGCCCAGTGCCCAGTACCCCTGCCTCAGCCCAGGCCTCACCCCACCACCAGCCCAGCCCAGCGCCCCCAACACTCAGTGCCCCAGCTAGCTCTGCCAGCTCTGAAGAGGACCTGCTGGCCAGCTGGCAGCGGGCATTTGTGGACCGTACTCCGCCACCTGCCGCTGTGGCCCAGCGCACAGCCTTTGGACGCGACGCCCTCCCTGAGCTGCAGCGCCATTTTGCCCATAGCCCCGCTGACAGAGATGAGGTGGTCCAGGCACCTTCTCCCCGACCAGAAGAGAGTGAACTTTTGCTACCCATAGAACCTGACTCTGGCTTTCCCAGGGAGGAGGAAGAGCTGAACCTGCCCATCAGCCCTGAGGAAGAGCGCCAGAGCCTGCTGCCCATTAACAGTGGCACAGAGGAGGGGTCAGGCACTTCCCACACTGAGGGCAGGGCCTGGCCACTCCCCAGCTCCAGCCGCCCCCAGCGCAGCCCCAAGAGGATGGGGGTTCACCACCTGCACCGCAAGGACAGCCTCACCCAGGCCCAGGAGCAGGGCAACCTGCTCAACTAGGGCCTCTAGTGGCCTTCCTGCCATTGCTGCACTGGGACTGCAAGGAGGCCCCATACCTTGGCAGCTCAGGGTCCCCAGTCCAAGGCCTTGATCTCTCCCCAATCCATACCTGCACAGCTGTTCCCTGTGTGGGTGGGGTTAGGTGGTGGGCCATGCCAGGCCTGTCAGCTGCGTTGACTGACCACGGCAGCTTGCCTCATGGTTTTCCCCTTTTCTTAGAATATTTATTCTCCACAGTAACATGCAGTTGGGTCTCAAGACCTTTTCTCCAATCAGCCCAACCCAGCCCAGACTGGGCTGTTTTGGGGAGCTGAGGAGTTTATCAGTATTCATCTTCCATCCTCCTTTCATAGTCACAAGTTTTGTTATTTTGTTTTTTTTGGGGGGTGGTGGTGTAATCGTTAACTTCATTTCTGTTTCCTACCTGTTTGCTTTCCCCCCAATCCTCCGCATGAGCTGTTGCCCTCCGGGGGCCCGGCACAGCTGGCCTTGGGGACCAGAGAGAGGACTGACTCAGGGCCCCCTCAGCTGTCTCTTCCCTCTCTCTGGAAAGGAGGTGGGGCTCAGGGGCCTCAAGCTGCGCTCTGGGTGAGGCCTGGCCTCTACTCCCAACCTTGGCTCTAGACTGTTACTCCAAGCTTTGGGAAATTTTCACATTGATGACTATTTTAAAATCAAATAAAACTATTTTACTGGTATGGCCTAACTTGTCTTAATGACCTTCCCGTTCCCACTCTTCTCCCCATTCGTGAGTATTCCCAGTCCTGGTCTCATCCTAGTTGACTAGTGACTCCCCTTGCCCCACTCTACCTAGGGTTTCCCTGGGCACAGAGCATCAGGGAGCGGAAGCGGGGGGTACCTTAACCTTAGCAGGGTCCCTGAGTCTTCCCTCAGAGGCAGGGACCAGATCTTCATGGGGCTTGTGTAAGGTGTTGCCCCAGAAGCCCAGGTCCTAGGCCTAGGCCAGGCCTATTTTGAGAGATTCTGGACCAGTTCACGAAGCCTGGAGCTTGGGCTGTGTGATGCTACTGCCCCCTAGTGGTGCTTACTGGTAGTTCCAATTCCTCCCCTACTGCCGGCCCCCAGTGACTACAGCCACACGCCAGGTTGTGGAGTTCATAAAATCTTTTCCGAGCCAGCGGGTTGCAGCCAGAGCTGCCAAGTTCAAAGGCATTGCCTTGGGTTCAAGTGCCCCCCAAGGCTGTTGCTCAGTTACGGCTTCCAGAGCTTCCTTCCCACCACACTGCCAGGAGCTGCCAGAGCCCCCATGTAGCCCCTGACCCCAGTTCCCTCCCAAGCCCCAGGGCCTGAGCCTGATATCTGGGGCAAGGGGCTTGGACAATAGACAAGTGAAATGGTGTGCAGAGGCCCAGTGGAGAGTCACATCTCGGTCTCAGCCAACAGACTGTCCCCTAGTCCTGACGTCATTAGCACCATCTGAGAGCTGGGATCTGTGGAAGGGCAGAGGGGTGTTCAGACCACCATTCCTTCCTCCACTGGGGACCACAGATAGCTGAAAGCCTAGGTTCTCCACACCCACTCTCCCTTGTCCCGAGCCTCTTCCAGACCTAGCTCTGATCAACCCTCTGGGTTCTTACCACTGGGGCACATCCAGGAGCTGCTGCCCCTCTGGTGGGCAGCAGGCTCCCGCCCTCTCTCCCATTCCTGGGTGTCGCCAGCCCCTCCTGCCACTTCCTCCTCCTCCTCTCCCTCAGAGAGGAGGTCACAGATCTGTTGCTGCAGCTCTGGGCTAATGCTGTTCTCAGCCAACACCAGGCTCCGCAAAGCTGTGGGGTAATTTTCTACCATGTCCAGCAGGGTCTGAGGTGGGGAAGAATATGGAAAATGATGAACACAGTTAAGGCAGGTCCTCAGACCCCAACCTGCCACCCCTTAGGTATGTCATCAGACACATAAGCTAACCTCCACCCCATCCCCTGGCCGTTCCCAAACATGACAACTTCCCACCTGAGCTGACTGGTTGGTGAGCCCTGTGCCCTCCAAGTCTAGGACCTCTAGCGTACGACTGGAGGCCACAGCTACAGCCAGCATTCCTGCCACATGGTCACCTGGGGAGACAACACACGTGCACACATTCACACACATGCCTGCTAATCCTTACAGACAGCTTCCCCATTGCCTTAACAACTTAAGATACTAACCCCTGGCCAGGAAACATGGACAATTGGTGGTGGTCAGGAAGGGATCATTGTGATTGGTGAGTGAAGGCATGAAGAAAGTTAGGCCCACGGGTGGCGACTGATGCTTTGATCTATTTGTTGGTCACCTGGTCCTCCACAAAGCTATCTCCTTGACCCTTGGGGGCTCTCCTTTCTCTTTCCTCTCCCAGTGTAGGGGTTACCATGTCAACTGATGGTCCCAGGCTCTTGGATAGCGCATGAGGCAGTGAGAGCCCAAGGGGGTATTCTTGAGCCTCACCCAGGGGGTTGTAATCCAGATTGAGGACGCGGACCTGGGAGCTGTGGGCCACAGCAATGGCGAGGCGGCTCCAGCCCTTAGGGGTGATGCCAGGGTTGGCACTCAGCGTTAGCTCCTTCAAGCCTGGGTAGCATCATAGCAAGAAACCAGAATAAGGAGGGTTAAGCCCTCCCTGAACCCTTCCCCACCGTCCCTGTGTCTCCAGGGTGTCCCTAGTGGCTAAGCACCACCTCACCCCCACCATAGAGTTCAAGAACCATTAAGGAGGCCCATGCTTCCTCTGCCTGCCCAGCCTGGATCCCTGAGTCTCCATGCTGCCCCCCATCCTGCCCCTTCCTTAGAGGAGTAGAAAGACGTTCTCACCCACAACATCAGAGCTCTGGGGCCACACCCCCTTCCCTCTGCATTTCGATTTTCATCACTGCCACACTAGCCCAAGCCCTCAACAGGGCCCTGCTCACCAGATTTGGCCCCATCTGGGGGCAGGAGACCACAGATGAGGTTGATGGCTTCATCACCCAGCATGCAGTCCCCCAGGTCCAGAGCCACAAGGGCAGGGTGGAGGGCCAGGGCTGGGTTCAGCAAGGCCAGCCCCGCATCTGTCAGGGGGCTCCCATGCAGGCTGTTAGGGAGTGAGAGAGCAGGGTTACTGCAGTCCTGAACCCTATCTACATGGGGAAGGGGCACTTTCACTTCTGTCAGCCTGTCTCTTATACACATCTAGATGTGTATAAGAGACAGTTACTGCAGTCCTGAACCCTATCTACATGGGGAAGGGGCACTTTCACTTCTGTCAGCTCTAGATATGGGGAGGGCACTCAGTCACAGCACTAGAGAGGCCTGAAAAAGGAGAAGGAAAGTTCTAGATTCTCAGGGAATACAAGTAGAGGGAGAATTCGGTTTGTTTTCTGGGGCAGGGATCCAGGACATCGCACAGGGAGGAGCAGAGAAGGGGTGGGTGAGTAGTGGACTGGAATACTGCAGTGGGCAGGGCTCTCGTCCCCAGGGGGATATTCTCTCTCGGGAACCCAAGGAGCTGCCCCAGTGAAGTAAATGCAGATGATCAGATGGGGAGGCACGGCCCCCACCCAATGTCAGGAAGTAGTAGGTATCCCAACGCGGGTAGGGTCGCGCGTGCAAAGCCCAAGCGTGTGCTTGGAGGGTGCTGTGAAGGCATGGGCCGAGGCACGGTGTATGTGCATAAAGCATGTGAGGGTAGAATGGTACTGGAAGGAGTGTGGAGGAACATGAGATGCCAGGGGCGTGTATGGAGGGGTGCAGTGCCCGGGACCCCCTTGCGAGGGGGCGCACTCACAAGAGGGACTGGATGGAGCGGTTGGTCCGCAGAGCCTCAGCCAGCTGCTTGATGCGGCTGGGGCTGGACACGACGCCCAGGTTAAGGTTGAGCTGCGCCAGGGACGTGGCCCCGGCCAGGGCCCGGCAGATGCGGCCGAAGT